ATGAAATGATCATCTTTGTCTTCATAATAAGCTTTGCTCTGAAATTTGCATTGTTGGATATTAATAGTCACTCCATTGATTGATGTTAAGATGGTATATTTTGGTCAATCCTTTTACCTTAGCTATGTGCCTTTATTTATAAATAAGTTTGTTGTGTACAACATGTAGTTGTTTTTTAACATCCGATCTGACAGTTTCTTTTTATTAAAGTGATCAGACCATTTACATACCATTATAAAATGTGTCTGTAGATATAGTTAGGCATCTCATCTTGTAATTTGATTTATCTTTAACTCATCTGTTCTTTGTTCCCCTTTCCCTCTCTTCTGTGGTTCTGTGTGTTTGAGTTCTAAACCAAGAGCTTTGTGGTCCTCAGTGTTGGTGTGCTGACCAGCCCTACACAGCTGGCCTTGTGTGTTCACCACTGACCACTGTCCTCCTGTTCATGATGATGATGCTTTAGGATCGGGGAGGGATGCTCAGCTGCATCTCCCCATGGCTCATGTGGGGCCCAGCAAAGGGAGCAGCGGATCATTCCTTTCAGTTTTCTGCCAGAATTAGGTCTTGACCCCCACTCTTCCTCCTGTGCATGTGTGCGTGTACATGCGCACCAAGTTGGTATTTACTTAGTTTTAAAATACGTGTGTGCGGGCGCCTAGGTGGCTCAGATGGTTAAGCGTCTGCCTTTGGCTCAGGTCATGATCCCAGGGTCCTGGGATCGAGTCCCGTGTCGGGCTCTCTGCTCCTTGGGAGCCTGCTTCTCCCTCTGCCTCTCTCTCTCTCATGAATAAATAAATAAAATCTTTAAAAAAATAAAATAAAATACGTGTGTGCAAGTAGAGACAAGTATACAGTTTACATTGTACACATGGATTGTATATCAAAACAATTTAATTAGGCATGTGTCCCCAGCTGAATGTGTATGTTTCCAATATTCATATGTTGATGGCTGCATTAGGGATAGGGCCTTTATGGAGGTAATTAAGGTCCAGTGCAGCCTTTTGGGTGGGGCCCTGATCTGAGAGGATTAATGCCCTTATTAGAAGGAGAGAGCAGAGCTTATGCACTCTTCCACATGCACAGAGAGGCCAGGTGACCACAGGGTAAGAGGGCAGACACATACACACCAGAGAAGAGGACTCAGGAGAAACCAGCCCTGCCCATACCTGATCTTAGACTCCAGAACTGGGGGAAATGTATCTAAGTTGTTTAAGCTGCCCCATCTGGCATTCTGGGATGGCAGCCTGAGACACATTGTTTCCCCCCCAAAATAAGGTTTGACTCCCAGTCTAGACTACAGAATTGTTTATGACTTAGAAACGTAGAGCTAGAATGGCATAGCCGGGGTGCTTGGAACCCTGGGGGATGCTTTCTTTTGTTTTACTGGGTTTTCCCAGGTCATAGAGAACCAACAGCCCTTTAATAAGATGCACGTTTCAGAACTTAAGCTCTTCAAGCCAGAGCGATGCACACAGACCACGGGAGGCACTGCAGGAGAGTGGGCTGGGGGAGCTCTCTAGGGCAGAATGAGAACTAGAAGCAGAGTCTGCAGCTCAGCGCCCGGCCCCGTGGGAAGAGCTTGGGTGAACCTGGACAATGGTGCCATCCCTGTCCTGGGAGAGCCTGGGCTGGGCCCGGTGGCTCTGGGATGGCACCAGGTGCGGGGCAGGTGCGTTCCAGTCCAGAAATCCTGTAGGTAGCGATGAGAAGCCACAGCCACAGGCTTCTGTCCAGAGGAGGGTTTGGCTTTCAGCCACAGCTCACCATGCAACCACTGTGCTCACTGAGGACTGTTCTGGGACGCGCTTGAGTTCTCCCTTGAGAGGCTTGAAGCCAAGTGTGACAAGTGAGATACATACATAGGACCCCCTCGTGGGGTCTGGTGAGCGGTTCCCACCAGCCTTGCGACAGAACTCAGTGCAGCGGAGATCCTGAGGGCGTGAGAGGGCCAGAGAGGAGTGCTGGAGCAGCAGGAGGATGAGGGGCCCTTGGGAGGGTGGGCAGCAGCGGGGGGGATGGGTAGAGGTGCCCAGACAGTCATGTCCAAAGTAGGGGCACATCTTAGGGGAGGGCAGCACAGGAAATCTTAGACTCTGAGATGGGGGACTGGGGCTTACCCTGGGGGTTCCGGAGACCTGCTGGGTGTGCAGGGCCCCCCTGGGGTGGCAGCTTGCCCATGGCCATCACCAGCCTATCACTCCACCTGTGCTGAGCAACATGGCAATCAAGAGCTGCTTCTAGAGGACAGTCCCCCTTTGCAGGAAGGACCCTAATATTCCCAGAGTGGGAGTAGGGCAGATACTGCTTCTCGGGGTCCCAGGAAGTAGAGGATGCCGATCAGGAGAAGTGGGTAAGCCCTCACCTCAGCTGTGGTGTGAACAGGTGTTCCATCCCAGTCTCCCTGGCCCAGATCCATCGCCCACGGAAAGGAGTCTGGGTGCTGTCTACTCAGATTCAGAAGGAACTCTTGGGCCCCCCGTCCAGGTGCTGTTGGGACTGTGTACGAGCCCCTGTTGGGCCTCCAGCCTTCTGCCCTCATCATATTTACCGTTAGTACTTATACTATTACTTGCTTAAAAGGATGAAAAGGTAAGCTGTGCGTTAGTACCTCCAGGAGAAAACTAGAACAGCCACAGACGGGGACAGAGATCACGAGGAAAATACAGGACGTCGTTCCGTCTGGCTACGCGCTTGCCTGCTCGGGTCCATCACAGAGCAGGGACTGAGGCCCAGACACACGCTAGGGCAGGGTGAGCCCGATGTGAGCAGTGGCACGCAGAACTGGAGAGCGTCGGGGTGGACAGTCCTCACGAATGTCCCCAGACCACACGTGCACGCGCCCTGCAAAGCCCGAGCTGCTCTGCTTTTATCAACTAGTTGGACAGGAGTTGCGTCTCAGGCTGGCATTTTGTCACGTTGGACGCAGATCACCTGTGGCAACTGCATGTCCTCTGCGGCGTCCGGGGCTCTGGCGGTGGCACGCCCAGGTGCTGCTGGCCCTGCCCTCCATTCACCACTGAAGGGAGCGCTGAGTTGCCATCCGAGATTAATGACAACAAAGCTCTAACTTCTCCTCCTGATGAGCGGGACCCCTGAGCTGCGCTCCAGGCTGAGCCCCACCCCCGGGGCCAGGCCACACGGCAGTTCTTCTACCGCATGTCTCTGTGAGGCTGCTTGCAGGCTTCCCATCTTTCTTTTGAGGCTATAGCCCTGCCGGGGCCAGGAGCCCGGCCCTGCCACCCACCACAGCCACAGGTCTTAGGCGGTGGTGGCTGCCCTGTGCCCGGAGTGTGGGTGTCAAGCTTCAGAGACACAGAGCAGGGGAGCCCCCACGTCAGCAAAATGAATGGAGCTGTGAGCGCCGAGGCCCAAATGTGGACAGGTGGAGGGCTCTCACCGCAGATGGGCGCTGCTGCTTGGCCTCCCCGGGGCTGGTGCCACCAGAGACCAGGGCTCCCCGGTGTGATGGGGAGGGTGCCTGAAGCCGATCCTCGGCCTTGGCTGCTTCTGAGCATCACCTGGCCGGCCTGTGCCGGCTGCTGTCCCAACCTGAGGACGCTGGGCTAACAAGTGCACTGTAAAGTGCCACGTAATTGCGCAAGTTCCCCACCACACCGGGAAACCCTCGGCCAAGGGTGCCCCCAGACGTTGTCGGCTGCATGGTCCCAGGACACGCTCCAGCACCCCTCACTCGCTTCCTACTGTCTCAGGCCACCAGACAGGACAGAGCTTGAAAAACCAAAGTCCCTTTTCCCCCAAAATATTCTTTATTCTTGCATTACGTTTGTGTTTCCAGTTGTGAATAAAAAATGCTTAGAAAGTGGTTACAAAACAGCGTGGACTGGACACGAGGCGTGGACTCGCCTTCTCCACGTGTGACGACACGGGGCCTGGCGTCGGGGTCGGGCTGGCCTGCCTGGGCTCAGTCGGGCTTCTCACTCTCAGAATCTAGAAAACAAAACCGCCACAGCTCATTACAGGCCCGGCTCGGTCACACAAGGCCCTGGGAGGTGGAACAGCGTTGCCAGCACAGTCCTATTCCGTGGGCAGCCGGTGGCGCGTGGCCCCCACACTGTGCAGGCAGACCCCAGGCAGCCTCTGCCATCGGGCCAGCTTCTGCACGGGGCCACTGCCCAGGACCAGGCAGGGCCCCCCGCACCCGCACGTTTGCAGCAGCTGCCCTGAGGTGGCTCAGCTCTGCCCAGCGCCAGCGCTTAGATGAGGCACCAGATGGGGCCCTGGGGTCTGCACTGGTTCTGAAAAGGGGGTCCCCTCCTTCCAAGAGCACGGGCATAAAGCCTGCCTCTCAGCTGGCTGGGCCGGGAGGCACCACCAACCCCAGCGTGAGTGTGTACAGGGTGTGGGCAGGAGCACAGACCACTGAGCGCGATACCATCGAGGGTGGGTCGGCGGCAGACAGGTAGCAAGTGCCGCTAGGGCCCTCCCCAAACTTGCACCTGCTCCAACCTTCACGTCCTCTGCAAGCCCAGTGCGGATCCAGGAGAAGATACAAAGGAGCTCACCTCTCCCCAGGTCTGCTAGCCTGGCTTTGTGCAAGTCAGCCAACGTGGACAGGGGTCAGAGGCACCTTCTGGTTGCCCGTGAGAGTCACACCCTCCATGGGGTAGAGCCCACTGTATGTCTAAATGCAGTTCAAGTCCAGAGTGGCAGGAAGCCGAGCGGACAGGCCCAGGGGCAGCAGAGCTGGGTCCTCAGGTCCCAGGCCACAGCTGGCGAGCGCCGTGTGCAGAAAATGCGGGGTCCCACCTAACACCCCACTTTCATCCCGAGCCAGCTCAGCATCCACCTGTGGCTCCTGCTGGGGACACAGCACCCACCATTCAATCCATAGGCTCTTCACAGCCACCCCGGCCTCCTGGGCACGGTGTCCACAGTAGGTGAGGAGCTGAGTGTGAGGCTGCGCCCAGGACAGCCTGGGAGCCTGGCTGCTTCAGCTTTTACATGGGCAGAGAGTAAGGAAAAGATGTTGTTCCACACTGTTTTCAAGCAAAAATGTTTATTTTTCTCCTTCATATATACAATCTCTTGGGGATTCCGTGCCACTGACCATACATGTACGAGGCCAGAATCCCAAATCTCACCTCTGGTGCAGTGGGGAGGTGGGGAGAGCAGGAGAAGGTGGCTCCCACGACCCTCAGGAACCAGGTGCGTGGAATTCTCCACCAAGGGACCAAGGGCACGTTACAGAGAACAGAAATCTCTTATTACATCATCGTGCCCTGGCAGAAGACTGCCTAATCACCCAGAAAACTCAATTCTAACTGAATTGATGGAATGACACACTTAAAATCATTTAGCCAGTCCTCGTGAGGTCCCACAGAACAGCAGAACTATACAGTTCACAGCTAGGCAGCCGAAGGCAGCTGCCTTCTGAGGGGACACGGGAAACACCGTGGCCACGAGGAGCAGGGACGGCAGCTCCCATCTGGGAGGAGTCCCACCAAAATCTCCAGGAGAGGGGTTCTCCCAGCCCAGGCAGGGCAACCTGCATGCACACAGGCCTCCGCAGAAATGACGGGAAAGGGAGCATAGCTGGCAGGAGGATCGGCAGAACCCCAGAGCTGCGGGCGCCCTGCGGTCTCTGCAGGGTGGGTGGCCTGCCTGTGCCCCACAAGCTTTGGGTCAAGAGGGTGTGTCTGCTCATCTAGCACTTTCCAGCAGGCTCTGCACAGCCGAACACAGCTGCTCACGTTCCTTACTGAGAGACCTGCTGCCAGCAACACGCTGTCCCAGGAAGCACGCATCCCTGGGTGGCTTGCTCGCAGCACCCAGAGCACTGCTGCTGGGGGCGGGGGGTGTCCGTCTGTCTGCTATCAGGGACTGGAGAAGCCCAGGGAGACTCATGTACAACAGAAATCTAAAGTCAGGCTTTAGCGTCAGAGTTATAAACCATTCGTATCTCTGCAACGTAAAATGGGCCAGATATCAATGCACAAGCCAGTTATCAAAATGAAATACAGTTTTTTCAACAAGTGATTTTTCTTTTTTTAACATCTCTTTCCATCAGGGAACAGAAAAGCTGGAATTCAAGGCACTGGACTTCTGCAGGGTGATTACAACGTTCTAAACATCGATTCAAGTACAGGGTGCAAAGGAGGCATGTGCAGACCGTGGAAACCTAAGAGGGAGCAGGGTCTGCACAGTAAAGGAAGCAAGCATTGCTGCCCACACACCGGGCCCCTCCCCTCGCCAGGCACCCACGGGCAGGCGGGGCAGGACTCAGGCCAAGCCCACCCGGGCTCCTCCCGACTGGTCAGCTCCACGCGTTCCAGCCGCCAACTGGTAAGACAGAGCTACGTGATTCGCAGTCTGGGGCCAGGCGCGCTGACCACAGGTGGCCGCGAGAGCGCGGGCGGTGCAGGCGCTCCTGCTGCACCCGAGCCCAGCCCGGGGCCGGGGGTCTGGCTGCCCACCTGCGCTGCCCAGGGCCCCCAGGACCCTGGAGGCGGGAACAGGATTCCGTACTGGCCCAGAGGCCGGGCACAGGGTGGGGCTGCTAGGCCGGAAAGGGCAGTACCTGGCATGGGCAGGGCTGGGGTGGTTCCAGCAATGGCCGCGGTGGCTAGAGGGCTGGGCGCTGGGGTCAGACATGGCGTCCCCACTGCTGCTCGAGGGGCGTTCATCTACGAGACAAGAAGAGGAAGGCACATGTGGCTGCCAACAGCAGGCCTCCCCAGGGATCCCCACAGATGCTCTGTCCTCAGCAGGGAGTAGTCTCAGGACTTGCCACGGGATGCCTTCTAATGGCTGATACCAGAGTGACAGCATGGGGCCAAGCAGCAGCCAGCGCCCTCCCTGTCTCCCCAAAGCTGCAGACTGGCCACCCCATGGCCCAGCTGTCTGTGGGCCAAAGCGGACCCCGTGGGGCCTGACCCCTGTGGGCACAGTGAGGGACTGACTGCACACCCCACCTCAGGGCTTCCATGGAAGGACCAGAGCCCAGAAGCCCATGGCAGGGCAGGCCCTCTACTCTCCACACCGAAGAGGGAGAAGCAGCACAAGAATGGGAAAGTGAGTGGAGATGGTTGGTGAGACCAACATGACCATGATACAGAAAACTGAGGCCACAGAGATTACAGACCAATAGCCTTCAACGCCTGAAGTACAGGCAGATCTAATAAAGCAACTGTAAAAAGAGCACAGCCAAATGGAGTCAGCCCCAGAAATGCAAGGCCGCGCTCCCCGTGGATATCACTGCCCCTTTCCCCAATTACACCGCAAGGAACAACCCCGTGTGATGCTCTCCACAATGCAGGGAGAGCAGCTGAGAAGTTCCACGCTCCTTCACAGACAGGACAGCAGCCAAGGCTGGAGGATGCTTCCTCCATCTGTGAGGGCCTCTATGGAACCTGCAGCCAAACCTACGCTGCTATGGAATGCCAAATGCACTTCCCCCCATAGCTCACCCTGCTCCTAGTCCCCACTCTGTGGGAAGTCCCAGCCAAGGCAAGAAAAAGAATAGAGCCATAGACTAGAAAAGAAAAAGAAAAGCCATTCTCATTTGCAGGGGACAAGACTGTGCTTGGAGAAAACCCAAGACTATAAAAACTGATTTCTAGAACAAGCAAATGTAGCAAGATGTCAGGATACAAGATACAGAGTTTATATACTAGCAATGTACAACTGGAAAATGAAATTTAAGAACAATACAATTTACATCCGTATTCCAAAACATCACTTACTTAGGGATACATTTAATAAAAGATGTGTAACACCCACAAAAGTTTGCTGAGAGAAAATTAAAAAGACACAGTGAAACAGATGCCATGTTCAGAGGAACACTTAGTATTGCTAATATGTCAGATTTCACGCAGTTGAACAACAGACTCAATACGATCCCAATCAAATTTTGTAGAAAGAGGCTTCCAGGGGCGCCTGGGTGGCTCGGTCAGTTGGGCGTCTGCCTTCGGCTCGGGTCGTGATCCCAGAGTCCTGGGATCGAGCCCCGCATCGGGCTCCCTGCTCAGCCGGGAGCCTGCTTCTCCCTCTCCCACTCCCCCTGCTTGTGTTCCTGCTCTTGCTGTCTCTCTCTCTGTCAAATAAAATCTTTTTTTTTAAAAAAAGAGGCTTCTAAAATGTATATGGAAATACTAAGGATCAAATTTTTTAAAGATTTTATTTATTTGACAGCATGAGAGCGAGCACAAGCATGGGGAGCCACAGAGGCAGAGGGAGAAGCAGGCTCCCCGCTGAGCAGGGAGCCCAATGTGGGACTCGATCCCAGGACCCCGGAATCATGACCTGAGCCGAAGGCAGACGCTTAACTGACTGATCCACCCAGGTGCCTTGAAAAATCAAATTCGTGAAGATTGATGTTGGAGGTTGTGCACTCCTAGACACTACATATACTATAAAGCTGCAGTACTCAAGGGTGTGTAGTACTGTCCTAAGGATGAAAAATAGCTCAGTGTGACAAAAACGTGAGTTCAGAAGTGGACTTGACCAATGTCTGCGCGATTCAGTGTGGAAAGGAAGGTGCTGTAACAACCAGATCTGCATACAGGGGGGAAAAAAGTTGACCCCTACATCAAACCATACAGGTAATCTGAAGTGGCTTGCAGGCCTCAATGCAGCAGCTAAAACAATGAAACTTCTAGAAAAAAAACCCCACAGGAACATAATAGAATATCTGGATTTGAAAGAGGCAAACATCCCTAATATAGAACAAAAAAATTAAAAGATAGGATAAACTGGACCTCAACAATATTAAAATATCTGCCATTTCACATTCACCATTAAAAAAATGAAAGACAAGCCACAGACCAATAGAATGTATCCATGATGTGTAAATATGTGAAAGAACACATAATGAATTCCCACAAATCAATAATCAAGAGATAATTCAACTTTTAAAAAGTAAAGGACCCTGACCAGTCTCTTTATAAAAGCTGGCCAGTAAGAATGTGAAAAGGTGCTCAAAGACCAATGAAAACGATATAAGACCAATTTCTAGGCCTCCGTTTTACAGGTAAATTTTCAAGTGAAACATCCCATACAACTTAAAAAGGTAAAAGACAAGGCAATATAAAGGAACACTAGGTGAAACAAACTGTAAAATACTATATGAAGGAAAGACAAGGGGCGCCTGGGTGGCTCAGTCACTGAGCGTCTGCCTTTGGCTCAGGTCATGACCCCAGGGTCCTGGGATCGAGCCCCGCTTTGGGCCCCCTGTTCTGCGGGAGGCCTGCTTCTCCCTCTCCCACTCCCCCTGCTTGTGTTCCCTCTGTCACTGTGTCTCTCTCCATCAAATAAACAAATAAAATCTTTAAAAAAACAAAAAAAACCCCCACAAGATTGAGAATTTTGGCAGAAAGCTGGGAACTTACAAAAAAAGGATACAGCAGACTTCTGGGGAAGATGGTGGAGTAGGAGGATCCAAAGCTCCCCTCATCCCAGGATCCACCTAGATAACACCCACCTCAGTGTAAATAACCCAGGAAGTGACCTGAAGACTGGCCGAGCAGACTCTCCACAGCAAAATGCAGAGAAGAGAGCACATCAAAGCAGGAAGGGTGGAGACGCAGTTGGGATCCAAACAGACTCAGGTCTGTCTGCAGGAGGGAGGGACGCCTCAGGCACAGAGAACTGGCGTGAAAATGAGGGGGGCAGAATTACACCCGGTCTTACAACCAGCAGGGCATAACACCTGAAACTTCAAAAATCAGCCAGCCCAGTTCTGGAAGAGCCTGGAGGAGGTGAGAGGAAACGGATTCTTGGCCTTAACGAGGCAGCCCAACAAACGGCCAGGCTGAGACAGCATAGAAGCAATGGTCTGAAAAATGCTGCGTTCTACAAGAACACTGACTTACTAATCTCAGAGCAAGTGCTGGAGGAGCAGGGACGTTTGGAAGACTTTTCCAAGAACAAAAGACTTCGGGGGTGCTATTTCCCTCCCTAGATACATGGACACCTCTGGGAGCCAGGGCAGCAGGAACACTCTCCCCCTATCCTGCCAACAGCATGCCCCAGCCTGCACTCTGCTGCAGATGCCCACCTCCAACCTGGCCAGCTTCTGCATGAGTTCTGAGCACCTCTGATCCCCTCCTGTAGCTGACCTGCACAAAACTTGCTAACACTGCACGCCCCGCCCCTGAGTTCTCCTGCGGACCCTGCCCCTCCAGTACACACCTGGCCAGAACCCATCCAAAGCAGCCCCACAAGCCTGGCAGTGTGCAAGCAGCGCTGACAGGGGCCGACATCACTCCAGAGTGACTCCTGCCCAGGGAGAGGGAACGATAACCACACACAGCAGTCCAGCTACGGCCCCAGCCCTGGACCCGGAGCAGACATCTGGTCTGGCTGGACTTTAGCACCCTACTAACATCAATGGAAAGATCATCCACACAGAAAATCAACAAGGAATCAGTGGCTCTGAATGACAGACTGGACCAGATGGATCCGACAGATATATTCAGAACAATCCACCCCCAAACAGCAGCATCCACATTCTTTTCAAGTGCACGCAGAGCACCCTCCAGAATAGACCATATATTAGGCCACAAGACAAGTCTCAACAATTAAAGAAGACTGAAGTCATGCCATGAATCTTTTTTGACTACAACAGTATGAAAGTAGAAATCAACCAGAAGTAAAAAATCTGGAAAGAACACAAATATGTAGAGACTAAATAACACGCTACTAGACAATGAATGAATGGGTCAACCAAGAAATCAAAGAGGAAATTAAAAAGTACATGGAGACCAATGAAAATGAAAACACAACGGTCCAGATCACTGGGATGCAGCAAAAGCTGCTGGAAGAGGGAAGTTTAGAGCACTACAGGCCTACCGCAGGAAGCAAGAAAAATCTCAAATAACCTAACCTTCCACCTAAAGGGGCTAGAAAAAGAAGAATAAACAAAACTCCAAACCATTAGAAGGAAGGAAATAATAAAGATTCGAGCAGAAATAAATGAAATGAAAACTAAAAAAACAATAGAACAGATCATTAAAACCAGGAGCTTATTCCTTGAAAAGATCAACAAATCGATAAACCTTTCACTGGACTCATCGAGAGACAGAGAGAAGGAGGACTCAAAGTCAGAACTGAGAGAGAGGAGCAGTAACAACCAACACCGCGGAAATACAAAGGATCAGAGAAGAGAGTATTATGCAAAATTACATGCCAACAAACTGGACAACCTAGAAGAGATGGATAAATTCCTGGAAAAGTAAGTTAATCTCCCAAAACCGAATCAGGAAAAAATAGGAAATCTGAACAGACTGATCACCAACAATGAAATCACATCAATAATCAAAACACTCCCAACAAACGAAAGTTCAGGACCAGATGGCTTCACAGGTGAATTTTACCAAACATTTAAAGAAGATTTAATACCGATTCTTCTCAAACTATTCAAAATAATAATAATAATAAAAGACGAAGGGAAACTTCCAAAGTCATTCTATGAAGCCAGCATTACCCTGATACCAAAACCAGGTAACGACACCACAAAGAAAGAGAACTACAGGACAATATCTCTTATTAGCATAGATGCAAAGATCCTCAGCACACCGAATCCAAGAATACATTAAAAAAAGTATTCACCACAATCAGATGGGATTTATTCCTGGGGTTGCAAGGGTGGTTCAGTATTTGGAAATCACGTGATACATCACGTCAA